AACAGTGAAAATATTTTTTTTACTAACCTCAGGATATAAAAGAAGCTTTACCTGTTCATAAAAAAAATTCGAAAACAATACCTAAAATAAATAATATTAAGAATTTATTTCATACATTATGGGAACAAAGAAACAAAAACAGAGTAATAATATTTTTTTACTAAACTCAGGATATAAAAAAAAAGTTGTGTATGTGACATTCAATCTAAAACCTGAGGTTCGACTAAGTCAGAAGCTTATACAAGTAATCCGTTTAACGTTGCATTTTTGCAATCCATATCCTGTTATTTTTTTTATCACCAGTTTTCCCCTTTTTTCAAGTATATATATTTTTTTCAGAAACGAGAAATACAAAAATAAATAAATTAAAGAATAATTAAATTAATAATTCATAATGAGTTATAGTCGCAGGGTGTGATAATAGATTTTCTTACGGCATCACGGAACCCTTACCCAACGAAAATTAATCGATTATTGATTATTATTATTATTATATAGCAGAAGATATAGCCCGATTAGTTATAAAACCATTAATAAACGTATGATAGCAGATAAGAAATGTAATTATAAATTTTTAATAAAATAATTAATATTATCATTTCTAATTATTATTAAATATTTCATTTAAAAAATATTATTTATAATTATTATCAATTATTTTTATATTAAAAATATTACAATTAAAAGTTTATTTACTAATTATCAGATAATTATCATGATTCACAAAGCATAATTAATTAACTATATTATAAAGATCAAAATTTTAATTATACTTTTTGTTTGTAATATTATAATTATATTTGAAAACTAAAATAATTTCTTTGTAACAATTAACAAATGAAATATTTAGTTGGCTCTGAGTAAAATATATTTTTTCCAGATTATTATTATTATTATTTATAATTATTATTTAACACTTTATTCAAAAAATATTATTTATAAATAATTATTATTAATTTTTTAGGTAAAAAATATTATTTATAATAATAGAGTTGAAATTATATATTATTTATAATAATTATTAATTATTTTATTTGACAAATATTATTTAAAAGTTTATTTTTTAATTAACAGATAATGGTAATAATTTATAAAGAATAAATATAATTATTTTAATAAATTATAATAAAAAGATGAGAAAATTTTAATTATTTGTTTATTTATTTATTTAAGTAGTAAACTTATTTGAAACAAATAAAATTTCTAGTTGGCTTTGAGTAAAATATATTTTTCTTCTCTGTGAATAATCTTGTAATTGCTCTACGACTTTTTGATTTATTGAATAAAAATGAAATGAATTTTTTTTTGTTTTGGTAATTTAGTGCAAAAATTTTCATCACGTCATTGTTTCACTATAACTAAAAATTCATTCCTTAAATAGAGTATATGTTATATGTGGCTTTTATATGAGCCAATAAAAGAGATACTTTAGAGAATACAGATGAACTCTTTGCATAATAATTTCATCTTTTGATATGAAATATTCATTATATGTATAGAGCAATATATGCATAACACTGATTAATCACGTGCCAACCATGTTTATTATGGTAGAAAAAAATTTATTAGCCATTTCGATTATTTCATTTTCTTTTCATTTCTTAATTGTTTCATTATTTAAATTTTCTGCTTCATTTTTTTTAACTTTTTAATTGTTTTATTTATAAAAATTTTTTTCTTTTTTATTAAATTTTTCATTTAATTTAAAAAAAAAATTTAATCTTTTAAAATTAATAAAAATTGTATTAATTTTAATTAATTTTATTATTAAAAATTTTAATAAATAATAAAATAATATGCATTATTTGATAATTTTACAAATTTTCATTGTAATTGTAACATTGATATTATAGGTAAATACTTCTATAGAATTTTATCAAATTAGTATGGGATTAAATTATTTTAAATCAATGTTATAATTATGGAATGTCCCTTATTAACAAAATTCATCAATATTTTATTATGTAAAACTGAAAAAATTCATTTTTTATAATTAAACTTATACTAATTATTTACTAATTACTAATTAATTATTTATATTGTTATTTTGTATAATATTATAATTTGTATTTATTATTTTTATTATTATTTTATATATATATAGAAAATAAAATTTAATTTATTTTCTTTTTTCTCTAAAAAAAATATTTTTTTAGAAAACATGACGAATTGAAAATATTTACTACAATAATTCGTTAATTTTTAAGTATACATTTCGCTAATATTTGCCTATTAACAATGTTCATTAATTATAAAAATTTTTATCTCAAATTATGCAAACATTGTGCGTAGAATATTACTGTTATCTAATCGTATACACTTTTAAAAAAACATTTTTTTTCTATAATTACATTTACCAATATTCCCCCGCAAAGGCGTTGCGGGTAAAAGTCAGTAGGTGTTTTGAGTAATTTACGAGCTTAGAATATTGAGTCATTGACATTTAGAACTTGATATATAAACTATATATTGCCAATAAAAAAAAAAATATTTCTCTCGTAAAATTTTATTAAATTTTCGCAATAATAAAAAATTGCACAAAGCGAAATATGTCGCAAAAAGTTATTAAGAATGTAAAATTTTGTTATTGCATTTTAATAGAACAAAAGTTTTAAAAAAATGAAAAAAAAGATTCACTAATAGATGAGTTGTATTCAACAATAAATATGTCAATTTTCGAAGAAAAAAAAAGAATTTCAATTTTTGATGAAAAAAAAAGGAAAAATGAATGAAAAATTTTTATCTTCCATTTGCAATCAATTTCTGTCGGTTTCAATAAATCAAAATACAAAAAAACAGCTGCCAATACTTTTGGAGGGAAAAAAATGAACTTCTCTGCGATCTAGAAAGAAAAGTAAAAAAGGCGGAAATTTTTTTTTTGGTGGATTATGTGAAAAAAAAATTGTTTATCATTTTTTTCGGTTGAAATTCAAAAATACAAACATAATCAAATTCATGCGAGCATCTGCTTCTGTATCTTTCTTTTTTTAATACCATTTTCTATATCTACATCTCAAAATTAGAAGGTTTACGATGAGCAAATCTGCCAGACTGCTCTGTATGTATTATCACCATTTACCATCAACAAATAAATCAATTCGATAAACCCGAACTCCAGAAAGTGTGCTAACAAAGCGCGCATGAGATCAAAGACCACACGTGCAATAAAATGTCCCAAAAAAAAAAATTCTTTAACCTATTTTTTTTTTAATTAACTCAAAATATTTTTTTTTTGTTTTCTAATAATTATTATCATCAATAATAGGTAATAATTTTAATAACTAACAATTTTAATCATCAAATTTAAATTAAAAAATTTAAAGTTAAAGTTAAAGATTCAAATGTTACAACATTTGAATCTTTAACTTTAAATTTCGTGAGGAATATAAAAAAACTTTTTAAACTTTTTGTTCGAAAAGTTTTTTTTTCATTTTTTATCCTAGACTTTTTCCGTTAGGACAGGCCTTGTAATTTCTATAAATTCAAAAACTGTCTAAAATAATTTATAAATAGAAAATATTATACAAAGTTTCTGCATTAGAAGGGGAAAACTTTTTTTTTCTCTAGTTTATTTATTCCAAAAGTGTCGAAAATGAATTCTGAGTACTGTAATATAGAAAAATACAAAGCCTAGAAAAAAAAATTTCCCCCTCGAAAGTTTTTATCTTACAAAACCTTAATAGTAGAAATAATCAAAAAAATAATAATAGTAAACTGGTAAAAAAATAATAATGAGGGGAAAAAGAAGAAAAAGAAAAAGAAAAAAAAGAAGAAAAATAAAATACAAAAAATTACAAGTAATTTATAATTATATGCACAATGTGTGGCAAATTATTAAATTGAAAAATATGAATGGATATAAAAAAAATTTTATACACCTAAAATTTAACGGCTAATTAAAATTCTTATTTAATGAAAGTGTATATAGCTTTATAATATACGGTAAAGAGCCGGAAAGAAAATTTTACACCAATTAAAATCTTAAGGTATCATAAAGCTGCAGGTAATTAATTATAATTCATGAAAATTAGTAAGAAAATATTTTTTTTTTAATCTACAATATTTCACCGAAAAAAAATAAAATCTCAAAGTGAGAAGAAAATTCCGTTTAATAATTATTTTTTCATTTTATTTTCCATATACGAATATTCATCTACAAAAAAGAGGAATTTTTGTTTATATTTAAAAGTTTTTTAACCAAATTTTTAACTAAATTCAAAGACTTTTTCTCACTTCAAAAAAATAGTTTATTCCTTTTTTTCTAACTTCAGAATAACCAGAAAAATTATTTCAATAAATTTTTATAAGGGTATGAAAATTATTTTCTTTCTCCGTTTAATATTAATAATACTTTTTTCACTTTGAATTTATAATATAGTTGAACCTGTTGGAAAGCAACGCGAATTTTTTTCACTTGAAAAAGTTTCGAATTCAATTTTGAATATTATAACGGAAAACAATGTTTAAAAAATTATTTAAATTACAATAATTTAATAATATTCTCGAATTGGGTGAAATTAAGTAATTATTAATCATTTTTATATTATAAAATTTCTATAATTTATTATTATTTAGTGCTAATATTATTAAGGTACTAATATTAATTGATAAAATTAATAATTATGCTAATCATAATAAAATACTAACTATAATTATAGTATTATAATATTTTTAATTACTTAATAGTAATTAAAATACTAATATTAATATAAATAAGAAAAAAGTGATAAAAAAAATAATAAAGAAATAAATAGGGAAAACAAAAAAATAAAATAACAATAAAAAAAAATAAAAATAAAAAAATAACAATAGTGATAGTGTTAACAAAAATTAACTAATAATTAATTAAATTCATTAATTATTATAAATAAGATAAAATTGTATAAAATAACATCGTTTAATAAAAAATGTCTTCTTATATACGAAACTTTGTAAATTTCAAGAAATGGCGCTCCAATTTTGCAGTAAATTTATAATTTTTTCATATAAATTCGACTCACTTAGGGAATTATTATTTTTGAATGTGGAAGAAAAAAGCATCTTGGTTTTTTTTTTGGTATTTTGATTTTTTTTTGTTTTACAGAAAGGAGAAATTTTTTTTGACTTTCGCCATTGGGAGAAACCGTTTTGGATGAGAATCGCGCCGCAACTGACGATTTACACGCAAGAGTACTACCTCCTACCCTCGAGGAATATATCTGCCTCTCTCACCCTCTCAAACTCATTCTCGACAGTCGCTTTACAGCTAACTTTCTCTTATATATAATAAACGTAGATTGGATAAGAAACTTCAATGTGAACATCATTTTAAATTATGCAACATTTTTCTTTTCTTTTTCGCAATTATTACTATTCTCTATTTTTAATTTTTATTACAATTAATATTTTTAATTACTATTACTAATTTTCAAATTTATGTGAAAAAGAAAAAAATTCTATTTATTTATAAATTAAATTAATTTAAACAAATTGAAGTTATGAAAAGTAAAAAGATAAAAAAGTAATAATCTAAAAAAATGTAATTTATAGATAATTAAATAATAAATTTTTTTCCAAGAAAAAATATAGAGTTTAAATAAATTAAATTAATTAAAGATTTGTTAATAAATTAATTAAAAGAGTGTTTTTCTCTTGCCTTTTATACGTCTTCCAAAAATCGAAAAAATTAATTTATTTAATAATTGTTGAAGAATTTACAAAATATTGAATTAAAGATTTGTTTTATATGGGAGATTCTCCATGAAGGGGTCACTTTTGACTTCGGTAACTTTTTATTAAAAAATTAATTTTTTGGGAAAATTTCCTACATAGATCCTTTTTTTAATAAAGCTTGAAACTAATTATTTTTGTTGATATTTGAGCTTATTTTTTTTAATCTAATAAAGATAAATTTTTACTTTCGAGATTAAATAATAAGTTTAAAAAAAGTAGAAGATTTTTTCATAAAAATGAAAAACAAAACATTTCCATTAATATTAATGTAATATTAATATTCATTCCATAATTTCCATAATTTTCGCGGAACCAGAATTTACATACGATTATAAAACACACCGTAAAATACTAGTAATTTTTGTAGTTTTAAATTTAAAAAAAGGCTACTTCTTTCATGCAAATTTAACATAAATACAACTTGTTGTCAAACTAAAAATTTGAATGAAAAATATTGAAATGAATATGTAAACTCCGGTTCCGAATGAGAAAATAGTGCGGGAAAAATATTAAAAAAATATTTTTACACAAATTTTTCAATTAAAATTGGAAAACAACATAAAAAAACAACTTTGGAGATGAAGTTTTTCGAATGGAATTAATAAAAACATGATTAAAATAGACTTTGTGTAAAATATAAAGCATATTAAAAAACTTGATGATTTCTGCGTGGAGAATTGAGAAAAGTGCATTATTTTAGAGTATTTTTCAAATAACTGAAAAAAAATTTCTTTTTTAATAAAAAAAGAAATTTTTTTCGATTAAAACTAAAAACAAAGTGGAGATTAATTGTGCGAAAGTTTAAAGCAGATTTGAAAATAATTTTTAAAGTTATTAAATAATAGCGAACAATGGGAAAGCAAAAGTTACCAGTGCGATTGAATAATCACACTCATAAAGCAAAAATTAATTTCGGAATAATTTTTTTTTCCTTTTCTTGGAAAAAAATGTAATTGCTATATTAATTTAATGATTTTAGTTATTATATTTTCAATTAAAAAGTTGAAAATTTGAAAAATAAAATTCGTTCGTTTAGTTTAGTAGAAGTATAAGCGTCACCCCCTCCACTTGTAAGTTGGAAGGGGAGGGGACCGCTTCGCTTACAAATTTTCATTTTCCAATAAAATAAATTTAATTTAAATCTAGTATTAATTTGGAAAAAGTAGAAAATTATTGAAGAGATTTTATTTTTTCTACATTCTACATAAAGAAAAAATAATAAACAGATCCTTCATAGTTTTTCTGCAGATATTAATAAAGCAATTAATGTAAATTAAATAATTAAAAAATAATTATTAATAAATAATTGTGTAAAATTAAATTATATTGAAAATATAATTCCCTCTACTGATAAATTCTATCATATATATAGAAAAATATGTAATATGACTTAAGATTAATATCATAATGTACTATTGATCTCAATAGTATCCTTTTTTCAATTTTCCTTCTTAATTAAAAGTATAGATATTTATAGATGAAATGCTGTAATCTATCTTGTAATTTTATTTTCTTGTTTTTATTACAAAAATCGTTTCCTTCGTTTAGGAGGTAAATTCAATTTTTTGATTTCGCAAAAAATGAAAAATTTCATTTACTTTTTTCATGTAGGAAGATTAAAAACTTTATGAATGTAAAAACATCAACTGCACAATAAAATTTAATTTCATTTGTTGAATCTCACAGTTTGTTGATTGTACAGCAAATGAAATTAAATTTTTAAATAAACTTTCAAAAATAGTTGAATTATTTCTTTTTTATTCCGTCTATTTGTTATTCTATTTCGTTTAATTACTTTAGTTATTCTTTTGTTTACTGTATTCGCATTATTTTATTTACTTCATTTAGATTTTGCTCTTATTTATTTTATTTATTATTATTTTGGTTTTTCTCTTATTTCTTTTATTTTTTTTTGTTAATTTAATTTTAATTATACTTTAGTTATTATTTTGTTTACTATATTTATTATCTAATTTATTTTATTTATTTCCTTTATTTTTTTCTTCTATTTCTTTAATTTTAGTTATTTATTCAATTTTAGACATTTTTGCACTCTATTTATTTTATTTTCTTGAATCACGCGAGAAGAAGACATTTTTTAATGACCTAATGTAGAGTACCCACAATAAAAAGTAAACTTCCGGAAATGCATTTACAAAAGTGCTAATAAGCTTAGAAAATATCATTTTATTTAGGATTTAAAAATACTGCAGACAATTTTTTTTTATTCGTTTTGTAAATACTCACAAGAAGAAGAAGAAAAAATGAAAAAAAAATTTATTAATAATACTTCCAAATGTGATAGGCAAACTTGCAGCAATCTTGAAGAATTTATTTAATTTCATTTGGATTTTTCTAAATCAGTAGTATAGGTCAATTAATGTCAGACATCCGCTACATTCATACTTTTAATTTAATAACTCGTAACAATGGTAAAGTTGTTAAATTTTTAAAATCAGTAGTAAAGGTCAATTACTGTCAGACATTTATTACTAAAACAACTTCGACATTGTTACAAAAGAGACATGGTTATAAAAAAATTGTTACAAAAACAAAATTGATAGAGAAAAATGGTTATAAAATGAATAATTGTAAAACAATTGCAAAAATATTTTTATAAAAGGAATGTTATAAAATAATTTTTATAAAATAATTGATATAAAAAATTTTGTATAAAACAATTGGTATAAAAAATTGTTATAAAATAATTGGTATAAAAAATTGTTTTAAAACAGTTGTTCTAAAACAATTGTTACAAAACAATTGTTATACAACAATTGGTATATTAAAAATGTTATAAAACAATTTGTATAAAAAATTGTTATAAAACAATTTGTTTAAAAAATTGTTATAAAACAATTTGTATAAAAAATTGTTATAAAACAATAGGTACAAAAAAATCTGTATAAATCAATTGTCATAAAAAAAGTTTTTACAAAATAATTGGTATAAACAAATTGTTATAAAATAATTGGTATTAAAAAAATTGTTATAAAACAGTTGTTATAAAAAAAATGTTATAAAACAATTAATAAAAAACAGTTGTTATGAAACAATTGCTACAAAACAAATTGGTATAAAAAAATGTTGTAAAACATTTGGTATAAAAAATTGTTATAAAAAACAACGTAAAAATTATTGATCACTGAAATTTAAAACTAGGAGAAATTTTTGGAAATAAATAAATTTTAAATAATAAATAAATAAATAAAAAAAAATAAATTTTAATAAATTTTCGTTATGAGGTAATGACATTTTGGAAATTATCAATATAAATTTATGTATGAAATTAATTGATAACATTGAATTTACATACGGTAATTATCAGCAGGAGAAAAAAAAATTTTTATCCATGGAACTTGAATAACTACTGCTGAAAATAAGAATTTTTTTCAAGTTCTACGTTCTCTCTCTTATCGACAGTTAAAAGCAACAGTTGATAACTATTTTCTAGATATTTGAGATAAAAGAAATTCCTCAAGACTTCTTACCTCAAAGAATTTTCAATTAATTAACATAATATTTTTGTTAAATAAAAAAAATTACCATCTTTATGTAAATTATTATTATTATTATTATTATTATTATTATTAAATATCACTAAATCATCATTATTTGATAATGAATAAATAAAATGAAACATATAAATAAAATATTATAAATAAAATTAAGTTTATAATATTTTATACCTATATATTTATTTATTTATTTATTTATATATATATAAATTTAAAAAGAATTTTAATTTTGTAGTTTAGAAGTTTATAAATTAAAAAATGTTCATAAAAACTAAATTAATGACAGAATTTTTTTTTAAATAACAGAAAAATATATTTAAGATAGAAAATTTGTTTTTCTATAATGAAAAAAATAAACGTTAATTCAATATAATTTTTAGGAAATTCCACTTTTCTGGTAAAGTTTAAAATAATAATAATAATAACAATAACACACTGTCACAATGTTTCTCCTCAAGTTTCATTTGAGTTAACACACAGTAGTCGAGTTGACACATAACTTTCAAGTAACTTATAGTTGAATGTTATTTTAATAATATGTAATGGACAAAAGTGTATGATGAAGCATTGAAACTTGCCAACTGACGCATAAACTTTTCAAAATCAAGTAAAATAATTCAATCACAAGGAGAAAAAAAAATAATCTCCTCTAGATGTTAGAGTCGCTAATTTTCTCACTTGAATGTTAATTTCTTTTATTCTCCAAACGATTTTTTTCTCTAGTTCTAAAAGATTGTAACATTTTTCCACATGAGAATAAAATTCAAATTTTATTTTCTTATTTAACTTCAAAATTCAAAAATAATAAGGAAATCAAAATGAAAAACAGTTTAAAGCGAGCTTTAAAGTTTAAATTTTTTGTTGAATTAATTTTTTGTTGTTATTGAAATGAAAACATTTTCCTTGTTTGCTTATTATTGTTATTTATTTAATTATTTATTATTATTTTTT